ATTACCATCCAAAGGTTATTCCATCATGAAATAAAGATTCGTTTTTTAATTATGTAGAATAAGGCTGTATATGTGTAATTTGTTTGGTAAATAAATTCCATGAATCCATTCACAATGTCATGCTCTTCCAGAGGTTTTTGTAAGATTATTGGGCAGTTTCTCTGCCTACAAGATATTATCACAGATGCTTGGTTTACTTTTGCAGTTCTCAAAACTGAATTTGACTCAGCGGAGATCACATGCCTCTTCTTCACAGCAAAAGTGTTATAACATGAACAGAGTTAAGAAAAAGACCTTAATCCTAACTTCTACAAACCTATGAATACAGAATCAACCCCTTCAGTGCTAAGTTTCAAGAAGTTCAGTGAATAGAACAGAAACAATATTTTTCTGATTGTTTGGAGTGGAATAGATTTGCACAAGAAGAAAGTGAAACTAAGTGTGAGGAGGAAGGGGCTGACAGTCTAAGTTTCTTAAAATATATATATTTTGTTTAGCCAAATTAGTTAACAAACATGGATGTTTGTTTAAGCAAATAACATATGCTGGAATGTTATTGTTTCAGATGAATAAATCTATTTAAATTGTTATTATTAAGGTAATGATTATTTTTCTCCTTCCTAAGTACAACAGAAAAGTTGTCCAAATATGAATGATTAACCTATTAAACTGGGGATAAAAAAACTAATATGAAAAGTTGTTATTCTAAATATCTTCATCTACTTGCATATTAAAGTTATACCAGCAAGAATTAGTCTTTATGTAGAAAACTAGGATTTAAATCAAGCCTTACTGACTAGTGATTTAAATCGTGATATTTAAATCAGTTTGATTTAAATCAAATCCACCCTGAAGGGGTATGAATACTTTTTCAAGGCACCGTGTGTGTATATGTATGTGTGTGTGTGTGTGTGTGTGTGTGTGTGTGTGTGTGTGTGTGTGTGTGTGTATATATATTTATATATATATGTTTATTTTAATGTGTATTTTAACAGACATCATATTAGAATAGTTTGCTCTTCATTGTCCTCCTGTGAGCAGTTTTTTGTCTTTTATTAGGCTCCAGAGATCTTGTTACTATTACTGTAATTGTAGTAGTTTCGCTGATAAGAAGTGTTGGGTAGCTCTAATGCAGGAGTGTACAGTGTATCAGCCAGGACCTGAAATTCTATCCTAGAACATGAATGTGTATTCATAGTGCTCTTTGCAGAACCCGGCCCAATGTATGGAATTCTTGTCTGCCTTTTCATACACTTTTTACTTCGTTTCTTACGTTTACTTTGCTGCCATCTTGTGGACTAATGTAATACAGCACCTCCCTCTCTGTTGTGTATAGCATTATAGTGCTTTAGTATCGGGTCATTTTGTTAAAAGTAAGTTGTGTGTGTGTTGTTTTTTGGTTTTTTTTTGTTTTGTTTTTTTCATGAAGCAATGCTTTGCTACATGTTGAGTTTCACCTGATGATAAATCACCAGTTAGAATAGCAATTCCTCAGCTTGCTACAAATTGCCGCTGAGATTACCATTCTCCCATAGCACTCATGCTCGCCATACGCTGTTAGATTTTTAATCGAAAACTTTTGTTTTTGAAACCTTCGTTCAATTTTCAACCTGTTAGTGGAGACAAACTTGCGGATGTTTTTGACCTTATGGCCGGAAAACTTGCAACGCTCAGGATGGAAAACTTTTTTTAGTTTCAATGAAATTCTTTGTATATGGTTCTTGATAGTATGCGAAAACATGCACAGTACAACATGTATGATTTTTCCTCTATTTCATCTGGAGAATATTTATAGAAACTACCATTCATTCCTTTAACACTATGCATGTTCTGTCAGTCTCTTTAGCTTGAGGTAGTGTGTGTGTGTGTGTATACACACACACACACACACACACACACACAGTGCTCAGCATAAATGAGTACACCGCAACAGAACAGAAAACCTTACTTTCCTTTCAGAATCAACATTTTCTATAGGACACTATACTACAAAATACTCCCACAAATGCAGGCCAGGGTTAATTTGCACACACACGTATTTTTCTTAACAAATTCATTTAAGACCAGGTTGCAAAAATCAATACACCCCAATGAAAGTCTTAGGAGCAAAGCTAAATTTTAAACGAAAAAATCCTAATTAACAAGAATTCAACTACAGGTGAGTCTAATTATTCATTAAACAGGTGTCCAGCAGACAGTTGATTATAAAAGGGTGTTTACTTAACAAAGAAAACCCCCTCCCATTTCATGCTGTCATCAGTGGCACCACATGGAAGAGAAATGTCACAAGGCCTGAGAAAGAAAATCATTTTTTTACAAGAAAGGTGAAGGCTTCAAGAAGATTAGCAAAGCTTTACTTATCAGTCAGAATACTGTAGGAAAAGTGATACAAAGATGAAACTGCGACCATCTCACAGAGACAGCCAGGTTGCCCATAGAGGTTAACACCTTGAGAGGAGCATCTTCTGATGAGAAGGATTGAAGAAAATCACCATGCAAGTTCACTGCAGTTAGCTAAAGAAATAGAAAGCCAAACTGGGGTGATTATTTCCAGTGACACAATACAGGATACATTGCAGAAGAATGGCATGCATGGGTGTCGTCCACCAAGGAAGCCTCTCTTGAAGCCCATGCACACAGAACCCTGCCTATAATTTGCCAGGGCCCATGCTGAAAAAGAAGACTACTGGAACTCTGTACTCTGGAGTGATGAGACCAAGAAAAATGCATGGTACCTACAGTGAAACATAGTGGTGGCAATGTACTTCTGTGGGGCTGCATGAGCACTGCTGTTGTCAGGGAGCTGCATTGTATTGATGGTATCATGAATTCACAGATGTACTGCTCTATATTAAAAGAGAAGATGCTACCTTCACTCCGTGCCCTTGGCCCTTGTCTCCTGATCTGAACCCAATCGAACACCTATGTGGAGTTCTGAAGAGAGCATCACTCTCCATCCAAGCTCTACAAGAGGTCGTTCTTGAGGAATGGAAAAAGATAAATGTTGCAAAATGTCACCAACTTGTTCATTCCATGTCTGGAAGACTTGGTGCTGTCCTTACAAATCATGGAGGTCATACAAACTACTAGATGAGTTTTTGTTGTGGGGTGTATTCATTTTTCATCAACTGATTTTGAGTAAAACCGTAGATTTTTTTAAGCCAATTTACACTATTAACCTTACTTTTATGTAATGAGCTAAACCAATGTTCTATAGAACTCCGAATTGTTCGTGTTCATTGAGATATTGATTAAAATCTTACTTTTCAAAAGAGGTGTACTCATTTATGCTGAGGTGTGTGTGTGTGTGTATATAAACGTGTGTGTATATATGTGTGCATGTATATGTGTGTGTGTGTGTGTGTGTATGTGTGTGTTGTGTGTATATATATATATATATATATATATATATATACAGTATATATATTGATGTATGTGTTTGTGTGTGTGTGTATATATATATATATATACATACATACACACATATCATGCTGGATATCTATACTGATATGGTGATGTGTTAGGGACATAAGGATGCCCCATGGTTTGATGAAAATGAGCAACCTACAGAGGACTGAATTCAAAGACACCCCGAAAATCCAAGAAAAAAATGATGCAGCAGGCTAGTCCATTTTGATGAAATTTCATTGCACCAACTCAAAATGGTACTCAGTAGTTTGTATGGCCCCCATGTGCTTGTATGCATGCCTGACAATGTCGGGCATGCTCTTATTCAGACGACAGATGGTGTCCTGGGGTATTTCCTCCCAGATCTGGACCAGGCCATCAGTGAGCTCCTGGACAGTCTGAGGTGCAACCTGGTGCCGTCGGATGGAAATGAAACATGATATCCCAAAGGTGTTCTATTGGATTTAGGTCAGGCGAGCGTGGGGGCCATTCAATAATATCAATCATTCATCCTCTCCGAACTGTCTGCATACTCTCCCCACATGAGGCCGGGCATTGTCGTGCACCGGGAGAGAACCCAGGACCCACTGCACCAGCGTAGGGTCTGATAATGGGTCCAAGCATTTCATCCTGATTCCTAATGGCAGTCAGGGTGCCATTGTCTAGCCTGTAGAGGTCTGTGCGTCCCTCCATGGATACTCTCCTCCCCAGACCATCACTGACCCACCACCAAAACGGTCATGCTGAACGATGTTACAGGCAGCATAACGTTCTCCACGGCTTTTCGAGACCCTTTCATGTCTGTCACGTGCTCAGGGTGAACCTGGTCTCATCTGTGAAAAGCACGGGGCGCCAGTGGTGGACCTGCCAATTCTGGTGTTCATTGTTGCCCATCTAGTGCACATGTTGTTAATTTCATTACCACCAAAGCAGCTGAAACTGATTAACAACCCCCTCTGCTACTTAACTGACCAGATTTTCTAGTTTTATGACTTTAGGATGAAGTCTGCCAATTGCCATTCTCCTGTTCTTTGAGAGCACACTTTCTGGACACTGAGGGGTTGTCATTGGATGGGGGGTGATAGTTGGTGAGGATTAGCCCCGAGCCCTGGTTCACGCTGAATGCGAATTTGCTTAAAGTAGCGCAATCTCAAAGCCGCAGATCAGTGTGATTTGTACCTCTGATTTCACTGTGGCTTGAGGCTTCATTAACAGAAGTCCTCGCAAGTTACAATAAAATCAGAAAAAGTGGTGCAGGAACTAGTTTTGAAATTGCGCTACTTCAAATTGCACTGATTAAGACAATAGGAATAAATTAGATGCAACTTCAGGTGCGATTTGTAAATTGCATGTCGTACCTGAAGTCACACTGGTGTGAACCAGGGCTGATTCTGGGAAGCCGGGTCTCAGGAACAGAAAGTGAATGCAGGATCACAGAGGCACCCAGGAAAAAAGTGGTAGTAGTGACAGTGTCTGCTCTTATGCAGATTTTACTTTTTTTAACCGCTTTTTGTTTAACCAGCTGAAGTAAGTTCTGGTATATGTCATGATTTTTTTTTTGTTTAATGAAGTGTAAATATCATTTGATTTAGAAAATTCGGCCCAGATCAGAGCAGAGGGAGAATGAACTGATTATTTCTCGGCTGCGGTGTCTGTATGAGGAAAAACAGCGGGATCATGTTCACACTGTGGAGTCAAAACAGGTAATGTAACTGACATTGGGTTATACAGTTCTGTTCACTCATTTGATGGATAGTGGTTGTATGTGTGTCAGCCCCGGTTAATGCTGATGTGGTTCGGGAAACCCAACAGTTCCAGTGCGTTTCCCGCACTGCATAGCACTCACACCGTGTTCTGTGATCTGATCTGCTGCAGGTATCATTTAAAAGTTAATGACACCCCAGAAGCAGGTTGCAAACACAGTGCGTTTTGCCTGAACCAGAATGCATGCGTATAAACGCCCATGCGACCCGGTTCCAGTGCGAATAAAAAAAAAAAAAAAAAGCTGCCAGTGCGTTTTTGATACGGATGCAATTTAATTTGAGCCATTCAAAATGAATGGGCTCACATTGCACTGCACAGAATCACATGTTCTTTGCACAGGAATGCAGTGCGATTCCTGTGTGATTCACATGTGGTTCACAGTGTGAACCTAGGCTTGGTCTTTATAGTAAAAAATGGAGTTTTATATTTATTTACAACTGCAGTAATGGCGTGAGAAGAGGAGGATCAGGGCTGCTCTGTGCAAAACCACTGCACACAGCACATAAGTATAACATAGAACATGTTTGTTTTTTAAAAAGAAATATGCCTTTAGTATCACTTTAAGCAGAAACCTGTTCTGTTCTGACACATCTAGGGAGAGTGAGTTCTCAAAATGTCTCCTATGATGTCTCCTCCCTTCATGTGTCAAACATATTTCTATAACCCTAATTCCAAAAAAGTTGTGACGCTGTGTGAAATCTACATAAAAACAGAATGCAATGATCTCATAAACCCATAGTTTATTTGCAATAAAAAACACAAACTGAGAAAATTTACCTTTTTTTAAGAGAAAATAAGGTAACTTTTAAATTAATAGCGGCAACAACATGTCTTAAAAGAGCTGGCAACAAAAAGCTGGCAAAATAAATGGTACAAACATGGAAGAGCTGGAAATGCATTTTGCAACAAATTGGGTTGATTGGCAATAGGTCAGTGATATATTTGAATATAAAAAGAGCATCTTAGAGAGTCAGAGTCAGAGAGAGTCAGATTTTGTGCAGTTTCTGAATGATGTTCACAGTAAAATTGCAAAGTTAAATAAAATATCTACAGTACATAATATCATGAAAAGATTCAGAGAATCTGGAGAAATCTGTGTTCAAGGGACAAGGCTGAAACACAATATTGCATGCCCGTGGTCTTCGGTATTCACTCCCTGCTGTGTGCTGTCAATCAAAAGTAAAGGGGAGTAGTCTCTAAATTCTCCATCAGGCTCCGCTCTCCCACCGACAAGCCATTTCCCAAATGTAGCCAGTGGCTATTGGCATATTTAGGTAATGACATCACCACTATCCCCGGCCCTTTTGTTTATGTTGAGCTTTTGGATGGGGAGTCTCCTGGCCCACAGCTGAATGGGGCGCTGGGATACAATGCTGTTTGGCAAGTTTTTACATGCATGACCGGTTCCCCACTCTTAGTACTGATATACCTCTCTATTCCAACTCAGAGCTAGTCCTAAAGTGGAGGTAAGGCCTAATATTTCAATTCTCCCCTGCAGTCATTCATGTAAGCCAAGTTCAGCCTTAGGTCTCAAAATGAAAGAAAAACTGTTTCTATCACCTTTTTATTTTGCAGTGTCCAGTGTCTGTTACATTACGTCAGTCCCTCTCCCTTCTGAGAGTAGCAGCCAATGGGTGTGTTTACTGAAGGCTAGTGACATCACTTCCAGGAAGTCACACTGTTCCTGTGTAGCCAGTGGGCATATACAAGATGGGAAGAGCTGCTCATAGGTTCCCTGGTCAGTGCTCTCCCATGGATGCTTGGGGAACTTCATCCATTAGTAAATGAAGAAATAAAGGCAGCATTGATACAGGAGGGGCTATATTTTATTGCAGAATATTTACACCACTTTATCCATTATTCCCAAACATATCTATGCAGATTGAAACTTAGGCTGGGAAAGAGTTTGATCATGATCAAATGGGCCTGTGGTTTGCCCACTTGGCCTATGTCTTCTTCCTTCGTTACCCTTGATGGAGGGACCCTTTTGGAGTCAAATGGTCATGGCTCCTTGTGGTTCTTTATGAACATCCTGATGCCTTTGTCTGAACTGTATGCTATATCTCCCTGAGGAAGCAGACTATTGTCTTGCGAAACGCGTCGGAGAAAGATCTTCAATTTTGATTGGAATTCCACTTTAACCCCTTGACGCCGACGTAACACAAATATGCGGCCTCACGGACCTGGGCTTTTTTCCGTGGGGCCGCATATTTGCGTACCTGTCTTTGTGCTGGGAGCGCGCCGCTCGGCGCGCTCCCAGCACCAAGACCGCGGTGTCACTGAGAGCCCCGGGTCCCGTTCTAACGATCGGGACCCGGGACTCCCCGATTCCGGGTCACGTGATCGCTGTGATAGCCTCTGATTGGCTATCACAGTGATCAATCACTGTGCAGCCCGGCCCCCTTGTTTTCTCTCTCTCTATGAATGGAGAAGAGAGATACATTGTATCTCTCGAACTCCTGACGCAGAGAGAGAAAAAAAAGTTTGTAAAAAAAAAAAAAAAAAAAAGATAAATACCGTATTTGCCGGCGTATAAGACGACTGGGCGTATAAGACGACCCCCCTACTTTTCCTGCTAAAATGTAGTGTTTGGGCTATACTCGCCGTATAAGACTACCCCTCTTCCAATGCACACCAGTGGGAGGAATAGTGCCCCATCATTGATGTCAGTGGGAGGAATAGTGCCCCATCATTGATGTCAGTGGGAGGAATAGTGCCCCATCATTGGTGTCAGTGGGAGGAATAGTGCCCCATCATTGGTATCAGTGGCAGGAATAGTGCCCCATCATTGGTATCAGTGGCAGGAATAGTGCCCCATCATTGGTGTCAGTGGGAGGAATGGTGTCCCATCATTGGTGTCAGTGAGGGGTGGGAATAGTGCCCCATCATTGGTGTCAGTGGGGGGTGGAATAGTGCCCCATTGTTGGTGTCAGTGGGGGGGGGGGAATAGTGCCCCATCGTTGGTGTCAGTGGGGGGGAGGAATAGTGCCCCATCGTTGGTGTCAGTGGGAGGAATAGTGCCCCATCATTGGTGTCAGTGGGAGAATAGTGCCCCATCGTTGGTATCAGTGACACCAATGATGGGGCACTATTCCTCCCACTGAGACTTGCTGACCCTGTTCTCGTATGGTGCTGCTGCAGCCAGCATATGTGGTTGCAGCAGCACCTCTACACAGAACACTTACCTGCTGCTCCGGCACTCAATTTTCGCGGGGCGCTCGGCTCCGCCCCCTCGCCGGTGATTGGCCGCCTGTGTGCCTTTCCTGAGCTACAGTTCTGGCGGCCAATCACCGGTGAGGAGGCGGAGCCGAGCAGCCGCACGAACATCCAGTGGCCGAACTGAAGGAGACGCCGCGCTTCTCCTGGACCGGATCGTCGTGGGACTGGATCCAGGTAAGAGACATCAGCCCCTGCAAAACCCTGTACTTAATGCCGCAGCCCCCCTAACATGTGTACCGGCGTATAAGACGACCCCCGACTTTTGAGAAGATTTTCATGGGTCAAAAAGTCGTCTTATACGCCGGCAAATACGGTAAATATTAAAAAATAAAAGAAAAAATAAAGAAAAATACCTAGATCAAGGTTTGATCTAGTTCAGTACCAGGGTAAGTGTTTGGGTCAAAGGTCAGGGTCAAAGGTCAGGGTCAAAGGTCAGGGTCAAGGGCAAAGGTCAGGGTCAAAGGTCAGGATTTAAAAAAAAAAATTGGTATCAGTGTCAGTTAGTGTTAATGTCAATGTCAGTGACAGTGTGTTTTATATATAAAAAAAAAAAAAAGACAAAAACAAAATGCGCACTGTTGTTTCTGGACTGTACTACGGGTACAAACAACAAATAACATACACATATATGGTATCGCTGCGATCGTCAAGAACTGGAGAATGTATTTTGAGTTGTTCTTTGGTGGTAGGTTATGGTCGTAACAAGAAACACACAGTTAAATTTAAAAAAATTATTTTTTTTACTATTTTGGCCCAGTTTTCTTTTAATAATAAAAAAAAATTAGGAGCTATCCATGACCATTTACCACCAAATGAAAGCCCAATTTGTCCTGAAAAAACAAGGTATAATCCACCTGGATGTACAAAGTAGTTGTGACGATATGTACGGTTTTTACTAACACGTCAACGTTGCAGAATTGTGCTTAGGCATTTAGATTTGTTTTACCCTTAGGCGTGAAGGGGTTAATTACCACCAGTTTCCTAATCTGAGAACTGGCAGTAATGTAGTAATATTTGAAAGCGATTTCAAAGGTTCATTTAAAAAAAAATTTTTTACAATAACAAACCTGCTATACTTACCTGCTGTGTGCAGTGGTTTTGCTCAGAGCAGCCTGGATCCTCCTCTTCTCGGGTCCCCCTCAGGCTCACCTGGCTCCTCCTTTTCTTTTTTTTTTTTTTTATTTAAATATTTATTAATTTTTTCATATTATTACAAAAATCCATAAGAAGAGACACAATACATATAAATATCCATACATTTCTACTCTGTCCCTTCTATTTACCTCTTTTCTATTCCCTTCCCTCCCTCCCCACCATTTCCCCTCTTCTCCCCCCCCCTACCCTCTGCAAGATCTCAAACCTCTCTAGGCCCAGTAACTTCGGATAACTTCCTAACTTAGAGTTTTCTATATTTCTCTTTCATTTCCGATTTTTCCCATTTTTCCCATCGTGAATAGTATATTTTCATCCTATCTTCCTGAATATGATAAGATTTTTCCATTCTGCTAATCTGGTTTACCCTATTGATCCAATCCTCCTCCGTTGGTATCTCAACCTTCCGCCAATACTTGGGGATCAACCCTTTTGCAGCACTTAAATAGTGCCATATACCTGATTCCTTATATTTATTCACTGTTGTTTCAACACTATGTAGGAGACAAATGGTTGGGTCTAGTCCTATGTCATTTCCAGTTATTTTTTCTATTAATTTGACTATTGT